CAGTAAATTTTGCTGATGAGCCGCATATTTTTATTGTTGTTTTACCGCTATAAATGAAATTTCTGACTTCATTGACAGCACAAGAGCTGCCGGGCTTGCTTTGACTCCCTTCACGTTTGACTGGGGTGCTGCTGTGGTGGCGGCAGCAGGGCGGCAGGTGGCGCCATCGCACCGCCAGCGCGCACGGACGGCAGCGCCGGCATCGCCCACCGCCCTGGCACCCACCTGGCACCCACCTGACACCCCTGGCATCATCCCGGCATCGCCCTGGCACCGATCTGGCATCCCCGGCGTCACTCTGCCACCCACTTGGCATCGACCTGCACCGACCTGGCACAGATCTGGCACCCCCGGCATCGCCCCGGCACTGCCCTAGCAACCCCGGCTCCGCCCAGGCACCCACCTGGCACCGACCTGGCACCCCCAGCACCGCACTGGCACCGTCAGCATGGTCTTGGCACCCCCGGCATCGCCCTGACATCCCCGGCAGCATCCTGGCACAGTCCTGGCACCGAGCTGCCATCACCTTCATATCACCCAGCATCGCCCTGGCATTGTTCTGACACTGCCCTGGCACCACTCTGGCATTGCCTTGCATCACTGCAGTGTTGCCCAGCATTACCCAGCATCAGCTGGTACCAAGTCTGAACTGGCGGGGCATCACCTGGCAGCAGCCCAGCACTGCCCCAGCACTGCTTTGGCATTGCCTTGGCATCACTCCTGCTTTTCTCCAGCACTGACCAACAGATTCGGGGAGACTCTACAGGGCCTGATAATTTCCCTCCACATAATTAATACAAACACAATTTATTAAATGCATACATTGCTTTCCATTTTTAATCCAATGAATTATTCAGGATGAGTACTTTATTAGGTTGTTTGTCTTCTCTCCTTCCTCCTTGGGCTGGGCCTCTCATATTTATCACCAGAGGGATGCAGCACAATCATTTTTGCAGAGAAATACTTGTCTGGGGACTGGTTCTAGGATTATGCTGCATGGGCAGGTTTTTAAATAAAGTTAAATTTTTCTTCTTCCAGAAATAGAGGTGTGGTACAAAAGTTTTGCGTTGCAAAGTTGCAACCCAGTTCATCACTCAGTGTTTCTAGAGCAATTCATTGGTGCTTCTTGTGACTTTTATCTTAGTGCATCCACATAAATCATGGGATCATTTAGATTGGAAAAGACCTCTCAGATCATCAATTCCAGCTGCACAGACCAGCACTGCCCGGTCCACCTCTAAATCACGTCCCCAGGTGCCACACCTACAAGTCTTTAAAATCCCTCCAGTGGTGGTGACTCTACTCCTTCCTTGGGCAACCTGTTCCAGTGCTCAACAACCCTTTTTGTGAAGAATTTTTTCCTGATATCCAATCTAAACATCCCCTAGAGCACCTTGAGGCCACTTCCTCTCATCCCAGCACTTGCTACCTGAGAGAAGAGACTGACACATACCCTGCTCACTGCACCCTCCTTTCAGGTTATAGAGAGTGATCAGGTTCCCCTGAGCCTCCTTTTTTGTCAGACTAAACAAGCCCAGCTCCCTCAGCTGCACTGTAACACTCGTGCTCCAGACCCTCCACAATCACCACTGCCCTTTTCTGGACACACACCAATCTATGAATAATAATGAAGTGCGCAATAAAGCTGAACAGAGCTCAGTGGGCTTCTCTGTGAATTTCATCTGGCCTTCCTACACTTTGAGACACCTTTCAAGAGCAACAAAAAAACCCCCAAAAACCAGAAGTATATTAGGAATTAAAATATATGCAACTGTTGATGTATTTTGACAGTTTCTCTGTCAGTTTGTTTTCTGTGTAAGTTCGGTATGTAGTTTCAACAGATTTATGAAACATGATTGCTTAAAGCCACTTGGCCACAACTCTTTCCCTGAAGAGAAAGATTTCTGAAATGCTTCTCAGGGTCATGATGGAAATAATTTTTCAGCAGAGGATTGTGAGGATTTCCATGGCAGAGCAGCCATAGAAGGAGCATCATCCTGCAACCTCTTGTTCATACAAATACTAGATTATTTCCAGGGGACCCCTTCCAACTAAACTATTCCTAGCTGTCTGTCCCCTTCCCAGTGCTCTGTTTTGCTGCTTCTGGGAGGTGTTCATTCATTCTCTGTGCCTGTTGAAGTTCATGGGACCTGAATCTTCCAGTGCTGCCCTTTTGCAGAATGAGTCCAAAAACCCTACAGCTAAGAAAGTCTTGGAGAGCTATTTCCCAAAATGGTGTTGAAAACATCAGTTCTTTCAAGAGATCTCAAACAGCCCTTCTCAGCTGGGCTGTCCAAAAATGCCCACAGAGAACAGCTGAAGTGTCTGACACCTCAATGCGGAAGGACACAACAAAACAAAAAGGTCCAAACACTAAAACTGAGTTTTGAAGGAAAGTGAGCTGGCCCAGCTTTATGCTTATGAAGCATTAAATAACCAATGCCAGCCTTGTTTTTACAATACACCCCTCCTTAAGGAAAGTTAAATGTGCTCTCTAGCTTCTACAAAGAGATCAGCAAAGATTTATTCTTCCTTTTAAACATAGAGTAGAATGGTCTTGGTATGTGTATAATCAGTAACCCATAAAACCTTAAGGGGATTTTTGTCCCTGAGACACATTTCTGTCCTTGATGATTTAGTAGTAAAACTACAATCAGGCTTGGGACACATGGGATTATGAAAAAAAAGATTTAAAACATTTTTTTAAAGTGCCTAATGACACAGACTCTTAAAACATTTTGAAAAAGGAATGCTGGAATCCTTTGAAGTGACTTTCAATTAAGGTTTTAAATGAATTAGGATGTTATTTCTGTGTAACAGCTAGACCATAAATTTAGTTTCTAATTAAATACCGTGTGAAAACTTCATGTCACACGTCACTGCTTGCAAATTTATTCGCTGTTGGATTTGACTGAAGTTAGATGCTTTTTCTAATTCTCAGGGGCACAGCAGCTTCCCTCTGGGAAAACAAAGGAGACCTTCCATTGTGCTGTTCTATGGGAAAATAGCAGTTTCTTTACAATAATAACCCAACTCACAGACTTCTTTTGCAGTTCTAGTCAAGATTTCACTCTAATTTCTCTGTCATAGTCCCCCAAAGCCTGTCTCTTTTCTCTGAAGGAAGCCACCATGCCTGGTGCCACATTATTCCTCAAAGAGTTAATGAAATTCATTTTTACTTGACCATTTTCAGTCATATCATACTTTAAGAAAAATATGAACAGCTTTCACTATTTTGTTACAAAAGCTTAAGAGCAGATGATACCAAGTGCTACTGGCAGCATTATGGGGCAATGTATTTTTAATAATTACACAGTATTACAGGTATAACTATTTCTCTGAACATTATGCCTGATAGTTCTTTTGTCTCTGTCCTTTCTTACCCTTTATTTCTCAATCTCTTGAAGAATCTCCTCAATTTCTTCACCTAATTAAAATTAAAATACCATATTTCTGGCTGTAAAAATAACCCTACCCTTTTCATTTTTATTCTCTCTTCACTGATTCCAAATGACACCAGTTCAAAGCAAAAAGTTATTGGACACTCAAACATTTTTTCCCAAGGTAACCCTTAAATATTCCCAGCATTTATCGATGACCATGTATAAGGTTAATAGTTCACTGTGACAAAAATAACATCAATTCCTTCATTTCCTTCATAATTTGGTGACAGTAGTCACCAGAGAATCACCCGAGGCTGTTTTTTGAGCTGTTTAGTTAAAAGAAATATATCTGTCTATGAGCCAAGCTGCTGTGGCTCTTTCCCCCAGGCCATCATTTTCAAGCCTTGTGACTGTGTGGCCAGCAGTGTGAGTGCAGGGTGAGCAGGAGTATGGCACGGGGCGAGGGACAGGGCACAGCACAATCCCTGCCCTGCATCTTGCAGCTCCCTGTTCAGGAGGAAATCACTGCTTTGAGATGGCATTGCAGAATTCCTTGCCCTGAAACACCAGCCAGCAGCCTTCTCCAGAGGTAACTTGGTGACAAATTGCTAAGAAGCTCATGGAAGCATTGGTAGCACACATTACTTCCCTTGGGCTGAGCAATGCACTGTGAACTCTACCCTGAATTTCTGGCTGAGGCACTCTTGCTGTCAAAGCCTGCAGGCTCTGGGACACCAAAAATCCAGGCACAAGTTTTTACTGCTGAACATTACACCATCCACTTGCTCTGCCTGGACCATTCAGAGGGGCTTTGCATTACATCTCACACTTTTTAATCTAAATCTTCTCATGAGTCTGTAGTTTAGGATTCCTCACATTAACCATATATAAAAAGTTTCAACAATCACTGTCCTTCATCCTTGAAGCCAAGGAATAAAACTGTGCTCTTGTTGTTTTGACCTAAAAGCAACAAAGTACAGATGGCTGTTAATATTTAACTGTACCCTAATCTTTTTATTCATGAAGAATGTTTACCCATAATCTATGAGGGTGAGAGATGCCTGAAATAATCAGGAATTGGAAACTGTCCTGTACTTTTTGTTTAAACAACTGAGCTGGAAACAGAAGTGTTCTCCGTCCCTGCCATGGAATAATGTTGGAAGTGTGTAGTAGACACTGGTCTGGATAATCAAGCGCCCAGAAACAGGCTTTTGGTTTAGAGATGCTGTAGGCAAATATAATCTCAAAAAACCCTCAACTGGAGCCTGACCATGCTTAGACTGCGATGTAGAGCCTACCAAAAAGTCTACATAAGTGCCTGAAGAAATTAGTGCAGTCTAAATTCTACCAGTCTTACTAACAGGTATTTTTCCTACCTCACAGGCTTCATTATTTTTCTCCTTTTTTTAAAATTTCATTTTTATATGAACATAAACCAAAATTCCAAATTTGTTGACTGATTCTGTGTTTGATTTGCCATCTCTCCAAGGTTCTGATTGTCATAGTATGCAAGGCCAAAATTTTGTGAGTTCAGACCACATTAAAATGTCAGAAGTCAGATAAAATACAGGCTCTCAAAATGCAAATGACAAATGGAATCACTAGCAGACTCATAAGTGAGATGAAGAAATTTTATTACCAGAAAACACCATTACCAGGTTCCATTAAAAGAAAAGTTCAAATGAAGGCTTTTCTAAATGCATGTCTAAAAAGCTTTCAGAGCAACAGAAATGGGAAGGTGAAGTTTGCTGTCTGCTTTTATTTAGGTTTAACAAAGGTCTAGCAAATAGAGAAATTAGGCTCTTGCAAAGTCTGTGAAAACAGGTAGCTGCACAGGCCATTCTGGGGAGTCTGCAGTGGGAGGTCCTACATTACTAGACACTGGAGGATCCACTTAGAAGAGAATTTTGTCTAGATGCCATTATTAAGGAAAACACGTTTTGTTGTTGTTGGGGTTTTGTTGTTGTCTGGTTTGTTTTACTTGTTTGTATTTGATTTTTAATACATCAGCCATAAGGCTCCAACTGTGAAGCCTGCTCTATTTAGCATTATGCCTTCAGAACAAGTTTTACTTTCTAGCTTTACAATAGTTCATTGCTCCAGAATTTTTCCCCTAGATAACTTCTGAGAAGTCATTTTTCTGGCCAGCATTTTAGAGGACATTATTTTACTTTTCAGGGCAATGCAGTGGCTTTGTTGCCACCCAGTGAAAGTCATAGAAATTCAGGTTCCAGATATACAAAATCCACTATGTAAATGACTGCTCAAACGTCTCTCTTGTTATTTCTGAAAGGATTCAATTTCTACTAGAAATAATGCAAGTACACGAATCTGCTTATTGACTACACTCCTGCTCACTTTTTCTTGAGGCCAAGTCTTTCCTGTGATGATATATACCCCATGCTTGGGTACAAAATTTCCACTAACCACAGGGTGATCTCCTCCATCTTTATCATGGAAAGCCCTCTCTCCTCTTGCCATAGGCTTCAACAAATCCATCTTGTTCTGTTTTCAAGAGGAAGAAGAAAAACCCCTCTTTCCCTCATCCTCTGTGTACATCATATATCAGAATTAGAAAAAGGGTTATTCAAAAGAGTTAGCCCAGTAGTGTCAAAATAATAGAAATAATTTGATTGTCTGTTCGGAAAGAATTTTCATCTGGAAGATTTATGATCTTTTATCTACAGAAGACATTAAAAATACTCAGAATTGTGCTAAATATACAAAATTTAAATTATGATTTGAAGTATCCAGTGGTATTTTAATATGCAGTGGCAAGAAGTGGAAAAGGAGCGTTGATGTGGAAAATTCTTAATTAACATTTAAGTAAGTATCCTCTGTCTACCTCCTCCTCAGCTTGCAGTGAAAGATTTTAATATCCTCATATATTCTCTGCACTATAAATCTTCAGTTCTACATCAGGGAGTGTCATGTATGATCAACAGTTTCTTATTATAAATTGTGATGGGTACTATTGAGCTACTTACCCATAGGATACTTGCCTCTGACTTGGAATGAATATGAATAAAGCTGTTAGTCCTCTGTTGATAAAGGAAGTGCCTTCCCAGTTTCAGTAACTGAGCACAGTCATTGCCATCATTATCCTTAAATGTCAAATTCATTACCTCACCTCCAGAGCAGTCAACCTAAAATGTTATTTAATATGGTTCTTAAACATCAAAATTATTTCATTTTATTTTGAGGGAACTTGCAAGCACCTTCTCTGTTTGTCAGGTGATGAAAAGAAGTATCAAATACTACTGAAAATCTGTGTTTTCCTCATTGGCTTTCTATGCTAGCATGGCTCTGACTGATCTGATCTGTAAATACAACAGTAGGTGAAAAATAAAAGTGAAAGATATTCCTGCAGGGCTGAGGGGCACCCACCACCTAATTGAGTTGATGTTGGTTTATTTATTTTCTTTTCCTGTGTAAAGTAAAGGACCCCATGGCTGTTGATCAGGATTGCTACCTGTAGCTGTGTTCCATTAAAAAGCCTTTTACTACCTTTCCCAGATTTGCAGCCCATCCTACATTTTCTAGAAGAGACAATTACAGGTTCCAGAGGTGCAACCAAGGGCATATAGAACATTCTGGCGTTGTTGGAGCAGACTGGCAAAGATGGGAGGCTGAACTGCAGCTGCCAAAGAGGCACGAGATAACTCATACCACTCCTGTCTCTTCTCAGTTGGATACTCCACAGGAATCAGAGACAGCTGGTTTAGAGTCTGGAAGAGTGGTTGAAGTGCTCTGTAACAACAACAACAACAAAAAAATAGCCTTAGAAATAATGGTAGGCAAGTCAGTCAAAGAATCACAGGAAATCATCTTCTTTCAAGATAATCAAATTTTGAATCTAATATTCACACAAACTCATCTAAATGTTTAATTTTCAAGACCCTGGACTGTACTGTAAAAACACACTCAGAGTAAGCAGAAAAAACCCCAAATTTGCCGTGTTCATAGATCAAAGAAAGTCATTTATAACAGAGGTTAATTTAGGGATCTGATTAATGACCAATTGATGTGTGTGTTGTGCTCAGAGAAGCTATAAACTTTTCAAAACCTCAGCTATCGCCTCATTGGTTGGTGAGAAGCTCAACATGAGCCAGCCATGCACCTTCACAGACCATAAACACAACCATATCCTGAGCTACATCAAAAGAAATGTTGCCAGGAGGTCAAGGGAGGTGATTCTGCCCCTCTACTCCAATCTTGTGAGAGCCCACCTGGAAGTCTTTATCCACCTTTGGCATCCCCAGCACAGGGAAGATATGGAACTGCTGGATTCAGTCCAGAGAAATGCCATAAAGGGGGTTAGAGAATTGAAGCACCATTCCTATGAGGACATGCTGAGAGAACTAGGGTTGTTCTTCTTGGAGAATAGATGGATCTAAGAAGTCCTTGGAAGGTCTTAGAACATCTTCAAGTGCCCAAAAGGGCCTACAGAAGAGCTGGAGAGGGACTTTTGATAAGAGCATGTAGTGATACAACAAGGGCAAATGTCTTTAAACTGAAATAGACTAGATCTGGATTAGATATTTGGAAGAAATTCTTCACTGTGAGGGTGGTGAGGCACAGGAACAGGTTGCCCAGAGAAGCTGTGAATGCCCCATCCTGGGAAGTGTTCAAGCCCGGGCTGGATAGGGCTTTGAGCAATCTGGTCCAGTGGAAAGTTCCCCTGCCCATGGTAGGAGGCTTGTACTAGGTTGCCTTTAAAGGTCGTTTCCAACCCAAACCATTCTCTAATCCTATAATACAGCATTAAAAATAATTTAATTTTTGAGAAAATATTTTGGTTTTAATATTTGGACTGAAAAACACTGAAGAGAGGGCCTCTGAAAATGGCCCATGAGCTGCCAGTAACAGCTACATTGTCAGATCGAAGAAGTGCTTGGGGTAGAAGCAGTGTTCTTGGATCCATATTTGCAGGTCTCTTTTCATCTCAGGAAGTGCTTCAGAACATGCCAAGACTGTGAAGACACCCAAGGCTGAAGAGTAGGAACTTGGTTGCATCAGCCAAGTGGGCCAGCCAAACCAGATGCTGCTCCATGGGGTTGTTCTTCCTTCACCCCCATGTGCAACTTGCTCTGCAGCATGCAGCAGCAGCCTTTCACCACCCTTGTAACTGGTGTGCTAATGGTGCCGTTTTGAACAGCTCCAAAATAAACCAGACTGTAGCCACATTGAAAAAAAATTATATAATATGACTGTGTCTGAAACCTGACTACAATCTAATTTCTTTAAAGGTTGCCTGATAACTATATCACAAGAAACAGGTCTGCAGCAGCAGGGATTTATTCCACTTCCTCTCTTTTCTCAGGGAATAACCTTAGAAAAACTTTCAAATTGATGGTAATTTGCAAAGGCCAGACAAAATAAATCTTTAATAAAAAGGTTTGCCCCAAAAAGGAACAGGCTGTTTAAAGAGTTTAGGCCTCCAAATGGTCATCCTGTGTGCTCTCTATAATTTAATACTGGGGATCATGGCTAACTTCATTAAGAAGATGACAGTGAAATTGAGATAAATCATCCTTTGGTGAGGGGGGGACCAACACAGAGAAAATTACAACCAGCAGGACAAATAGGTTATACTATCACACAGGTAATTTAATTCCCCTTTCATGTTAGAATGAATTTCATTAAGAGAAAATATGTATTTTACATTGAAGCCAACGACATTGTGAAATTAGACACATTGTATGATTCACACAAGATGCTGGACTATTCTTAGGTTTAGTTCTTGATTATTTTCCTACTCATTGAGTAGGAGCTTTCAAATTTTTTGTAGTAACTTTAGAGTTGAAAACGTCACTATTTTGATTTCTGCATCTTTACTAACTAATATCTTTACTAACTCTGTACCTCAATCTCAGAGTTGTTACTTCTACAATTAGCTTGTGTTAAGTTTGAAAAAAAATTCACTATGAAAATATGTCTGTTCTCTACTATCTCCTAATACTCATGCTAGGCAAATGCTTTTGAAGAATTTCCATGTGGCTTGGTTCTTGGTGGCCAGAAAAAAACCAATATTAAGAGGTTTAATCAATTTCATAGAGCTTTAGTTCTGTCTTGTAACTGCTGTCTGTTTGAGGTTTCTTTCCCCTGCAAGAAATATCAGTGTTTCCTATAAAGACTTTTCCTCCAGAAAGTTGAGTCACTTTTTTTATTAAATGCGTTCAGCATAAACCGAACATTTTAATAACAATATTTTCTATATTTTGATTAACATTGCACTGAACAACATTAAATTCTTTCTATTTAAAAATAATTTAAAATTAAATAACTTAAAATTTTTTCAGGCTTTGTAATAGTAGCTTCTCAACACCAGCCCTCCATTGCATTTCACCTGTTTGTGTCTATTCCTTTTCAAAGGCAGAGTGCTTGATGCTGAGGGAAAGCCTGCCCTGGCTCTGCCATTCTTTTATCGCATTTTTGGGCTGTTGGTGTTGCACATCTACAGGACTGTTTCCATTCCATATTTTGGACATGGCCTGGGAGTGATAGGACTGGGTTGTTTTTGGCTGGGCCCAGCCCTTTTGCTGTCATCTTGTCCCCTCTGCACTTCCCATGGGTTACTTGTCCCCTCTGGATGGGGGTCTTAGTGGGATGGACCATGGATAAACACTGATCATCACAAGACAGTGCCCCATTAGTCATTTCCCAGTGCATCATGCAATTCTGCTTCACACAGCAACTGCCTGACACCCTACACTTTCGGACTACAAACACAGCTTTAGAAAATGAAGAGTTTGGTCAGTACAGCTAAGGAGGACACACACCAAAATGAGTTCTACTTGTTCAGTCTACTTATGGATTCTGTCATGTTGAATTTACTAATTTCCTAAAACAAAGTTTATATTTCAACATAAAATACTGTAATGTAAGACTGAATGAAACCCAAGAGCCTTGTCTGGACTAGGAAATTTCTTTTTAATAGTTTTATCCCATTTGCATTGAGTTAGAATACATTTCCTTTAGTACAGAGCACAGGAAAATATTCTTTTCATAATTGATTGATTTAAAAGGGTTCTGCTCTACATCACCAAAGGGGGATAGTACAGACCTGTTGTGGCAGACAACCTGATTTTGAAATAAGAGCACTAAACATTAACATCTGCAGTAACTGACTTGTCACATCATCTATATGAAAAAGACTTGAACAGTTACTTATAATCAGAATTGCAGAGTGGAGAATCACTGCCTATGTCTGACTGGTTCCTTGCAGATGGCTGCTAATGTTAAAATTGCCATCACCAGCTGCGATAGATCTCTTGGCTCTCTCATGGCCATCTCCCTGGGCCACAAGCTGGCCTTTGCTTTACTTGGGCAGAGAGGAGGTGGCTGGTCCTCCCCTGGCTCATGCATGGGGGAGAGTCTGTGGAGGGCCAGTCACCCAGAATGACATCTGTGTCCAGATGGCTTTTTAATATCTCCTGGGATGGTGACTTCACAATCTCTCTGGGCAACTCATGCCAGTGCCTGGTTACCTTCACAGTGAAATGCACACAGCAAAATTAAATCATCACGGAATTAAAAAAAAAAAAAAAAAAGAAAAAGAAAAAAAAAAGAAAATTTTTTAAAAGTCTGAAAAATTGCTGGGAAGGTTTCTAAACTATTCTGAGGATGGGAACAGCTGTGTCTAGGGTGGCACCGCTACAAGAGCTCCCTAAAATTTCCATGCAGAGCTACCAGTCATTCAAAAATGCATGAGACCTCTCAGGGGGCTTCCATGATACAGCGTGGCACAACACAGCAGAGTGCAGTGCCACCTGCATGGATGAGGAAGATGCAGGACTCCATGATGGGAGCCCTGGGAAAGGCTCACAAGGGAAAAGTAGTGCTTTTGAAGGAAAACCATATTGAAAACTAAATTGAAAACCTCTGCCAGAAAGCTCTCTGAGACGTTGACCTTTTTTGGACTGCTTCACTGTAAACATGGATGAAATAGCCTTTTTTTCTAGCATGCACAAAAAACAGAGCTATGTAGGCTGTTAAAACCCCAATTTCTTATATTGCTTGTATCTCTTTGTAGAAAGGAATTCAAGACTTCTTTAGCAAAAGTGTATATTCCTCTGATGCCACAATTCACAGAAATATAAAATATTCCTAAGAGTTATTAAAACATTTATAAGAGTTGGGAATATTTACAAATTTAGAGAATGACTACAGTAATTTAACTATGGCAAACCCAGCATCAGTGACTAATAAGGAAAGAATTTTCATGGGAAAATATGGTGTCATCATTTGAATTTGCAGTCATTTTCCAACTGTTTCAGACCGTAAGTGATGTTTCGCTTAAATGTTCAGAAATCCTGAAGCATATCTTCACTGAGTGGTTACTTTTGCATTTGTAGCTAAAGAATCTTAACAAGTTTTCTATGTTCCTGGGTATTTCTGTCAGTGCATCAGGTAAAAAAAAGTATAGTTGCAGTTTGTATTTTATGTATTAAAAGGATTAAGAGTATTCTTCATTGAATAAATAAATAATGCTACTATTTCTTTTACAATAAGAGAAGTTACTCTAAACATTAAGACAAATCAGAGCCTGTATTTGCTGCAGCAGATAATGTAATGCAGTCTTTGAAGAGTGAGCTTCAACAAAGATTAATAACAAGTTTTTTGGTTGTAGATACATCTTTTGGCAAAAACTCATAATTGCAACGGAGAAGAAAAAGAGAGAAGTGTAATTCGTTTTTGTATCTTGTTACTAGAAAAAAAAAAATGAATCCAGCTACTGTTTCTGGTTT